GTCTTATTGTATCGGTCATGCTCCTTGTGATTTGTTATCGTCACAGTGTTACAATACAGTCTGTTGCTGTACATATCAGAGACATGAATGCTGTAGGCTGGGGCGAAAAAGAAGCTGGCCGTTAGCTGATCGCTCATTTCTGCCCGGGTAGCATTGAGCGATTGCTGATCATATCTCCCATCTGGCATATCCTCATGTGAATGGGTCGCTATCTTCGCATACCCACTGACTGTCTGGACCGGAAACTTTTGTTTGGGTGTGACCCCAGAGTAGTCAGCTGACGATATGGTGAAAATGCTTGATAAATCTGACGGAAAGGCCCTATCGACGGGGCTGATAACCTGGAGTACCGTTATGAGACTTTATTATGCTTCCTGATTTTCTGCAGTCGTTGCCTTTCTATTACAATACGTGCGCAGATCAATGCCGCTTACTTCACCGTACTTCATTGCCTCTCAATTTCTACCGACGCATTGACACTTAACCCTTTCTACTCGTAAGAACGGTTATGAAAACGCCTATATAGTCCCGCTACGTGCTACATCCGATTCGGCCTTTTGCCCCCCAGCGAACGAACTGTGTTGTTTTCACAATGGCCAATGGCTTACTTATGGTGTTTCTCGAGTATCCTTGATAGCATTGATGGGGTAATCCACTCATTTTGAGCATCTTGCGGCTCCCTTAGTAATCACACATATGCGTGCGCTTGTGTAACTGCCAATCACTCTAGCTGTGTCTTCTGATTGTGGTTATCGGAAACGGATTACTCGTGCTCATTTTCGTCGAAAAGGGTAACCTAGGAGCAGAGCAGTCCTGACGCATCCCATTTGTCATGTATTCTTATGATCATCATCATACACGTTAGCTGCAGGTGGAAAACACTTCAGCTATTGTGTCTCAATACAAAAGACAATAAAAGGAAAACAAACAGTGGCACGCCGGATGAGTCCCCAGTAACGAATAGACATCGTTCCAGAGAGCTAACAGCTGGTTATCGTGCCGTAAAAAGTGAGTTATATTATGCCTAATGACTGAGATCGTGATTGGAGGGGGATGCTAAGCTGGAAGGGGATGGACAAAGGAACTCACAACCTAAACGCCTATCAAAGCGGGGTGGGAGCGGGCCAAGAATTTGTGGTTAAAAACTGGGGGGATAAAAGTGCAGCTGGAACGGGACGATAAGGGTGACAAAGCGTAAGAAGAGGAATAGGAAGATGGGAAGGCTTGAGCAGTAGCATTGAAACCCCTATCCATCCTGCTCGATGCAGCAGATAGGGCCCCATTGATTATTCTCTGCGGTAGCCAGAGCATCAAGAAATTGTTTGATGAGAGATTCATGGTATTGCGTGGGCAGGATACTGTCAGGTCGCCCAGACCCAGACAGGAGAATGATTAGGGTTCTCAAACGAAGCCTTTGGTTCGAAAACCTGACCGCAAGGCAGCGGGTTTGGCGTTGGGCTACAAGGAGTCCGTTTTAAGGAATAAGGAGCCACTCTTGTTCCAACTCTTAACCTGGAGGACCAGATGGCTGAGTTTGTCTAGACTCTAGCCATTGACCAATCTGGTATGAGTGGCTCTGAAGGTGCAACAAAGCACCACCCAGCATAGCTCAATGAATCTCTGAAGCACGCAAACCATCGCACCACGGTAAGGTCCAGCCTTATTGCGATGGTATTCGTATGAGACTTTTACGTCATTTACTACAGGAATGTCTGCACTTCCATCGCGTGTGATGAACTCATTCAGACGCAAACCGACCAAGGTGACTTTGATGAATCGTTTTTGTGGGACTATTCGAGTCACTGTCGAGGGATTAGTGTACTGTCAAATTGTCCTCCAGACCGTAGGCCAGAGTACTTCTCCCGTTGAGTTTATAAGAAACTATGGCTAATCAGTGCATTTAATTCCGTGCCGACTTTGACACCAGGTCACGCGATTACTGCCGAGATGTGCCTTTCCGGAAGCTCATCGCATGGTGCATCATTGTATCGAAAATGGAGTTAAGCAAGCATTTTGCCCATTGGATATTGTTTGACTACGAAACTACATTAAAAAAATTGTTTATCACTTTCTTTTTAACGCCGTTTGCGCATCCATTAGATTCGTTACTAGCTGTTGCGATTTTTCTTTAATGGTCATTCGGTTTTGGTGTTCACCGAAAAATATCGAAACAATACCACGTCCTCCGGGGCTCTCCATTCATTTTTACTAGGCCTGGCACATTACACGGGGAGGAGGAATTTTATGACGGCTGCGAAACTGCGATAGAGCAGGAGGGAAGACTGTTGACTAAGTTCTAGTGAACATTCCCCGGTGAAGCGAATCTGTTCGAGAACTTTCATATTTGGCCTTTGGTTGGATAGTTTCACACATATGGCCAACGCCTCAAACCGTTGAGTCAGTAGTTTATTTTCGGTTTTTTGATTCCAGAACACTTTAGAGAAACGTTTACTGCCGGGTACCTGCGGTTTTTGGCTTTATCATGTACACCTTTCGACCACCTTAAATTGTGAACTATGGGGATGTACTCAATTGACTGGAAGCTTGCCTGACTGTGATGATAACGGCAGATAACTCCAGTAAACGAATGTCTTTTGTTCCTATCGGCGAACCTTTGTTACATATTCTCCATCTACGTTTAACGAGGTCCAGTTCCAGACACCAAATACTGTTACCACTGATTTGCAAATTATCTACCCTTTTCATCCTGTTCTTTTAAAGGGGTTTTATCCACCATGTTCAGTTCTTAGACTGCTAACTAAGTGACATCAGGTTTATACCATATAGCACGTTCTGGCTATTTATGCCAGATACGGCTACTTTATAAATTTAGCCTGGTTGTCATTTGGCTCCACATCATTTTAGTTTGTGATCTTCATCGGTGCTTTAAGACTAGTTCTGCTCATTCTCGTCTGTCAGATTTTCATCCTTAACTCACCGTATCCGAGGAATTTACTTTTTTCAAGGGCATACGTTCTGTCGCGCGTGAACTATTTGATGTGTCCGACTGGCTTTGTAGCCAGAGTATTTGGCAGATGATGACCCGCTACTTCGATATTTTCACCGCATAACGCCACCTTTGATCGTTCTCGGTATGTGTGTGTTGATCAAACAACACTTGCAGCACACATACACCTCGCGGCTGTCTGACATTCCATGTGCTATCGGAAACTGTTAAAGAAATTCATCGACCTGCCTCGGTAGCGGGTTTTTGTTTTGCATCTCTCTTGTTCCCATTTTGTAGGAAGGTGGACCATTCTAATTTCAAGACTATCCTCATTGTGCTCACTCAATTCGGCCGTTTTTATGGTCCCCCCAGCTTAGCTTGTCCATTTATGTTCTCGGATCCTATCTTCTCTCCAGCGGCGGGCGTACGGAAACAACAGCTGAGTTTGACTGTTGTATCTGCCGTCGGCTTTTTCCAACCGAGCACGCTCCGCAACGTACGTGGAGCCTCATCGGAGCAGTTTTGACACTTTATCTGTTTCTTATGTAACGTTCGGCCATTTCTGAGACTTTAGCAACACGGCATCGGCACACGCTACTGAAGAATTGCTGTTGTTAACTATGATGAACAAACATGGCCCACCAACGCGGTCAACGGTTGTTATCTAGTTTTAACTTGAATACAATTGACTTTATGTGTGAATGGTACGTAAATCAGACGATACGTTTCGTTACTCTCTTGTGGCCCTCTGAGAGTTAGCACTTCATCTACAGTGATCAAACTCTCTTATTCTTGAACGGTGGGGTCACTGTCTCGGTAGGTGGTTTCAAGTGCTATTTGTATGTGGCATCTGCCCAGACTATTTCCCGTTGTCGCTTCCCATTGGTTCACACAGGATGTTCGTCCCATGCGATCGGTCCATTGCATACTTGCTTCGTCAATTCTGCCTTGTCCATCTTGTCCATGCAATCCTGTCCAGCGAGTGTGGGCTTTCCTTCCACTCAGCTGGCCGATCGCCAGCCATTACACGTTCCCTCACCAATGTAGGCTTGAAACAGCCCACACGCTGTTCGCTCACAGTTCTCCAAACCAATCCGGTTTCTCTAGTCTGCATCAACATTTCTTTTCGTCCGTGCTACGCCTCTCTGACCCTTGTGACCCTGGTTAGCACACCTGTGTGAGGTATCACTGGTCTCCAGTCCACTGGTCACGCACAAATTTTGTTAATCGGAAACATCAGTTGCCATCACAATTGGTATGGCAGCATCCGTAGCCGGATTTGCCTGTCATTGTGGCCTCCATGGGGACAGCCACAGGACGCCTGCGCCTACCATCACAATTACGTCCACGAATACCAACACTTACACTATCTTAGACCTGGCTTCTTGCACGGTAGCACGGTTACCGGTTTGACATCATACTTTGCGCGGTTGATCAATTATATAGATTTGGGTATACACCAATTTTTATACCTTTTGGGCTTTGTGTTTCACTCATGCGGACGAAAGTCTTGCCGCGAACTTACTTGGTATTGCACGCATCTGGAGTGTGCTACTGAGTGGCCTTGAGCGTTCATGGCTGTTAACTTTTTGTGGCAACTGAAGTAACCGTTCGTATTAGTTCGGACTTCGGCTGCCTTTTGAATCGCTCTGGCTAATAGAACTTGTGAATGTAACTCGCTTCTGCAACGGTGGCAGCCGCGTTCAAACCTTTCTTCTTATACCCAATTAGCTAGTCGCAAAATTGCTTCTCACATAAGCTAAAACTATTTCATTACCCTGTGTGATGTGGTCAGTACCCACCCTTTCACTTGTTTTTTTAGCCTTACTCTCTCTGTTTTTATTTGCTTCCTGCCATCGCTTCAGGACACACGGTTGAGGTGCTCTTGCATGCGTAAATCACAGTCTCAACTTGACTTCACATACTACCCCAATTGTTTTTAAAAGGTCTACTCTTATCAACCTGATCGATTGACTCAACGTTTTCCATTTTATCTATCCTACCTATCTTATTTGGCTACTATCTACCTTCCTTTGTATCCGATGTCTTTCAGCACCAGCGTCTCCTTCCTCAGTGACAGATGTCCCTTGTCCCAGTCAATCCGATCCCCTGTCCACCTTAAGGACTGCCACTCATCCCAGTGCAGCTGACTCTGTCTCAAGTCGTACCACCCAACCAGTGACTTCCACTGAGGTTAGTAGATTTCGATTCGTTTTCAGCCCAGCTTACCTACGTATCGCCATCCACGATTTCTACTGTTTAAACTTTGACCTTAGTATATTCTCCTGCAAATGCAAATTTGTGCCTGCGGCGGGAGGCACTTCGTTGTATTTGCAGCACTAAGAAAATGTATTTTACTGTCTGAGAAAAATTGGAAGTATCAAAACTTACACCCATCCGCATAAACAGCTTTGTTTGCAATAATATGCACAATAATTAGGCAAACAGTATTCAAATCCGAGTTCAAGTTGAAGATTGTGACTTCTTTAACCATACATCTTAGTCTATCTTCCAACAACAGTGTTTTTCCGCTTGTTTCGATCCCACACTCGCCATCGACCTACTATTCGTTTACTTTCGTCAAGTCCGCTACTTCGAGCTGGTAAACTCTCACGCATTATCTCAACGCAGACAGGGTAACATTAGGCAGAGAGGACATGTGAAAGCATGATTTCTGTGGGAGGCCTCATAGGATTTGGCAGCACATCGAGGAGTTTATGCGGAGGTGTTGCGAAGCCTGCTGATGTCTGAATGGTTCAGGTATCTGGATTGTTAGCCCCCTATATCGCCCGTTTGAGTCTGCGTAGTGGGGGGGTGGAATGACCTGGCGGTCTCCTTAACCCACGCACGACTGCTGATGGTCACGGCAGAATGAAGTGCCGTTGGAGTGTGCCAAAGTGTTACTGATGCTCTGCTCCAATCAATATGGGAACATTGTTGTGAGGATTTACAAAATCCGCGCGGAGTAACAAAGTTGTATACAGTCCTAACAAGTGAGAGCGATCCCTACAGTTTGGTGATGTATACAGACAACCATTCGCAATGACTTCCTTATGGAAGATGTCTACTTTGTTCTGGCTCTTTCAAATCTATCAGCAAAGATAAAAGGGAACTTGTTTCCATTTTGTGGTTACACATGCATTCGGTATTGATTTTTACAGCTTTTTAGAGAATATTACCGTTATAAATTTCCTAGTCTTTTCGACTAAGAAATACTCCTCATTGATAGTATCGCACGCTCAACGGAACCAGCGGATTTCAAATCGACACTGGTTGAGACTGGAGCCGAAACACGTAACTTCCCACGACTGCACTTTGATCCACAAAAGAACAATTGGTTGATAGCAAAAGTTCGTTTACTGACTCGGTCAAAGGCAAACGTGCGTTCTACTCCTTCGTATTCCACTACTCACTAGCATAACAACGTAATGCAACGTGGCAGCAATGTTTTGAAGGCAACTCAACTGAGGTCATTGTGGCTTGAGACGATAGCGACAGCCATGTAATTGGAGAGAGCTGAGATGGATTCTGCGCAGTTTGAGTTGACACATGACATCGGTTTCAGAGAAGATAGCTCAGCTGTTAGTTGTGCAGTTTTGACACCGCATGATCACAGTATTGCTGAGTTGAGCTCAGACGATATCTATGCATGATTCACGGACCTATGCGAGCTCCGCGGCGATTTCATCTTTACATTTCTCATGCGTTCTAGATTATGAGCTTACATATAGCGCTATACTGAATACTGTATCATTCAGTTCAGTGAATCAACTATGCTCCGAGCATCGAAATGCCGCGGATCCAGTTAACACGACTCACATCGCAACAATGCCAATAAATAGCAACCGCAAGATAGTGGGTTGTAAAGCAAATGGAAGCACAAAGAAAGTGCGTCAAACTAATGCGAATGCAACGGAAATTAACAACCAGATTCAAGAAACCGAGTGCATGAACACCACTGACTGCGCGACTGCGCCATGTCTGATACGCTCTTCAACTTTGGTGGGTAACATCCCGAGGCCCCTATTCACGCAGACGCACTAGTCTGACCAAGTCTCTCAGTCAATTTCTTCATGCCACTATCCCACGTCGTGGACTGGTTACATCGCAGTTTCAACCATCTTGGTGCAGCAACGTCGTATAATGCACACAGAGGAAGCTGATCAACGGAGCACATGGCCTAGCCAACGTAAACGATTAAGACTCAGCAAACACTCCAGTAAGGCACCAGAAGACTTCTTGCCAAAATCCAACTAGCGTACCTCAGCATTGCCCACCCGGTGTTCCCACCAGACGTGTACAATACTCCGCAAGCACCAGTGGTCAAACACGGTCAAGCGTTTAATGTCTTCGCCGCGAACTGGTCAGGTCACTTATCGATACAGCAAGACCGGCCTTATCGTAGCGTCATATACCCTACTTTTCACCGACAGGCTGATATCTCGCCTTCTCCAAGGATGGTTGAGTCTCTGGAAAGCCACACGGGCCTTGCTGATACACGAACTAACTTCCTCATTGATGTGACCAGCAGACGTGACACAGCTGCAAAGGTAAGTGAACCGACCCACCACTTCCAGTTGCTATTCCCTGATAACTAGAAACGAGGCGTGCAGCGCTACGCGTCAGTCTATCCGGTAGTGTTTGCATAGCCACTGCGTCAGATCCCAAGAGAGCTATCTCATCCGTATACTCCAGATTTGTCAGTTGGTCACCTGGTGGAACTTCCATTCCGGAAGAGCTTGAGAGAACCGAGTCACACATGATCATTTCGATAACAATGTTGAAAAAGAAAGAATATATTGGACAGCCATGGTGAACCCCACTTGCTGTGGGGAACTCAGGAGACAGTTTCCCGTAGACCCTTACACGGCTTAGGAAGTCACGGTAGCGAGACTATGCTGTATCGTGGAAGCAAGTAGAAATTTTTTCTGTATAGCTCCTTCGGAATATCATCAAAATGTTATAAAGTGTATCGTTCCTCAATTTCCTATGTAGCGTTAAAAAATTTCTGACTGACCATATCACTGGGCTCATAAATGTAATATGCGCTGCCAGTGTGCAGTCGTTCTCTGAATCGATTGGTGATTAAATGTAAGTCCAACAAAGTTTTGAACTGTTGCACAGATTTGGCCTCCACGACTTGCTCTAGCAAATTGTCCCAAACGTTTCTCACTCTCCGTTCAAAGCAAATTAGGTAAGGAACTCGCTTCATATTTGGCATCACAAGCTTTATGCTATCATTCTCTTTGCTCCTTTTCCATCCAACTCTTTTGTTTGGCACTTAGCCAAATAGTGGGTCCGGAATCTGGGCCACTTTACTATGTCCTTTGCTTTCCTATTTCATCTTCCAGCATCCCTCGGATTCCTCCACTGTTCAACATTCAACACCGCAGTGCGCCACCGCTTCTGGGCGAGTTGCAAGTGCTTCGGACCGCAGATGTGAACCATCGAACCCGAAGTGCGAGACCCTGCGATCTACCACATTGATCGATCTGGTCACTACAAGTCCTCCCGCACAGGAAACCGGTGTCGGTGAATTAGCTGCATCCCACTCTCAGACTTTACCTTCTGCTGTGACAGATACGCCGTTGACATTGAAACCTGTGAGTCAGTACTATTTGCGCATTTTACGTGTCTGATTTTGTCCTTGGCACTTACAGTTCTCATGGGGTTCCGCAATGTATGGTGCCACCTGTCTTTCTGTGTGATGTTTTACCATAGGCGAAATCCTCACTTTCTTGGCGGGCTGTTTGAACTGTGGTCGAGTAAACGAATTTGTTCGTAACTGTGATCGCCGTGCAGGAAATGCCGCCGTCGAAGTGGACTTGTTGGAACATTCTCGTTATGGATGACATGAGATTCCTTCCGCTCCGCTTCTTATAATCGTCTACCTTGCCACCCTTAGCTATCTTACCGGAACCGGTTTTTTTAACCTTACCATGGAGAAACAACTCAAGGTGTCTTGTGTAGGGGCCACATACACTTGCAATTCGAAAACGTCTCGTTTCTTCTCAGACGGTGTTTGGACCTAGTTTATTTCAGTTGAACAACTGTGATCCGGGCACCGAAGTATGGGGGAGATCCAATTGCCACGACTCACATCGCCAGAATAACTAACACTGGCGAGAACCTGAAGTTAAGTGCGAGTAGAATACAAAGAATTGGATTTAAAAAATATACGTAAAACTAATCAGGATGGAAAATCAAGAGCTAGGTTTAAGAAACCGAATACCGGAATGCCAATGACTGCGCGACTGCGCCATATCGGATGTAGTTCTCATAACCACTAGTCTGGGTCCATCCCGTGGTGTTTATTCACTAAGACGGCATGCGCCAACCTGGTTACCTCTCTCGATCAATTTCTTCGTGCCTTTATGCCACATTATTGGCTGGCCACCTCGCGGTTTCGCCCAACTTATTGCGGCCACGGCGTATAATGCACGCCGAGGAAGTTGGTCATCGGGCATATCGATGACAAAATAAGCAGTTGAAATTCAACTGATACTGGTTAGTCACTGTTTTTTTATCGAAGCCTAACTGGTGGTCCCAGCATTGTTCATCCCGTATTCCCACTATAGGTGAGCAATACTCCGAAAGCACCGGTGGTCAGACACGGCAAAGTGTTTAATGTCTTCACTACGAGCTGGCCAGGTGTCTGATCCATGCATTAACATCAAGCCCTATCGCTATACCCCCTACTTTTCACTGACAAGCTACTATCGCTTCGTTTTAATAGATGGTTGAGTGTCTGGTAAGCCACACGGGCCTTTTTCATGGACTTGACCACCAAAGATGACAAAGCCACCGAGATAACTGAACCGATCCTTCAATTCCAGTGGCCGTACCCTGATAGCTAAAACCAGAGGTGTGTTGATCCACTTTTGCAGCAATACTTTGCACTTTGAAGGTGTAAAACACATGCCTAGGCGTTCAGCGCTACGCGTCACTCTATCCGTTTGTGTTTACATAGTCACTGCGTCAGACCCAGGGTGAGCTATCTCGTCCGCATATTCAAGTTTTATCAGTCGGATGAGTCTGCAAAGAAGGAGTAATTCGTAATCATTTCAATCAAAAAGTTGAAAAGAAAATGGGATATAGGGCAACCTTGGCAAACTCCACTTGTTTTGCTGAACTCAGGAGACAGCTCCTCCTAGACCTTTACTCGGCCTCAGAAGTCAGTACAGAGACACCATCATGGGCGCTACCTTCAAGGATAAGTAATGCCTCAAGCGGACTCCAACAAGACTCGAACGAGGCTTTCAGGTCAGGTAAAACCACAAGAGTCGATCGTCCGTAATTTTGTCTCTGTTATAACACTTGCCGAAGAGTAAATATGTAGTCGATGTAACCACGACCAAGGCAGAAGCGAACCTGTCCTTCAATGATTCGGCGCTCACGAGGACCAGTAGGTCGTTGAAGAATGATATCCATGCGAATTGTGGAATCGTTGAAGAGTAAGTTAAATGTATCTGTTATTTCCGCATGACACTTGACAGGCGCCGGTCTGACTCCGTCTTCAGTGTCCCGAATCGTGTTAAGTAGAGAAGCAAGTCCAGTCAGGAGTCACCTCCATCTTTCAGAAAAGTTGCCAGGTCTTCTGGTCCAGAATCCTTATTACGTTTCAACACAGGACTCATAACAATTCTCTTCCCATGTGGGCTCAGATGATTCAGCAAACGGCAGGTACCTGCAGGCCTGCTGAAATGCTCTTTAAAATATCCCACCCGATGAAGTAGTCGGCTCGGCTGAGAATGGATCAGCTATTGTATCACCAACACCTGCGTTCCGAATGAGCTGGAACAGCAGTCGGCTGTTCCCAATAGCGTGAGCTTTCTGCATCACACCGGAGCTTGCCACCCACCAACGTTCCCATTCAATTCAAAGACACATTGTCAGTCGTCTTCTCCAGGAGTTACGGACACGCTGAAACTCGGTACCCATTGGAACCTGTGCGTACCATCCAACTGATCGGCACCACAGTTCGGACGTCTGAAGTTTGGCGTACAGCAATCGTCAGAAGCGTTCTTCATGGCACACTGGAGACGATTCCACTTATCGTTCGGCTCACCAATCTCATTCGTTATTGGCAATTGGTGGGCCAGTTCGTCATGATGTTGTCGAACTGCGGACTTCGAGTTTAAGTTACAGGTAAGAAGGTTAGAAGATAGGCGTTTCTTTAAAGATCAGGAGAGTGAACGCCAATACGTGCGCTCTATATCATGGTTGGAATCCAAGCATGTGCTCTAAATTGACTGACAGTTTTGGACTGATGTGCGCCATCTGTAAGTGATGCCAATATGGTCAATTCGGATCCAGATCATCAAGGAATTCGGTGAGCACCAGGTGACACAACTTAAACATTTGCGCTGGAGAGCAGTGCTACTAATATCAAGGCTGTAGTCGGCGCACGGTTGCATCATTGTCTGTTCGGCGTGAATCAACGCCGAAGCAACTTCCCGGGTGTTGTTCAGAGTCCGATAGATGGCCTAATTGGTTATTGATGTCGCCAACAACAACCACAATGACAGAATTTTTCGTAGTGATGTGAGAGCTGAAGGAGCAAATCATCTTTACTACCTACCCAACTTATATCAGTAGGAACATAAAAGAGATTTATGAAAAGGCGTTTTGCCTCCAGACGGTGCATGTTAACCTCAATAGTTGTTCGACCTCTAACTACACCCACACGGCTGTTCACCGGCATCCAGCCGAATAGATTGTTTTCACTATGTTTGCTGAGAGCGATGCTGACATCGTAAACACCTTGCGCCGTTGACTCAGTATCGCCAGAGACGCGAAGAATAGAGTCATCATTGTCAGCTTCAGAACAAGGGAGTGGAGTATTTGTTACGACGCTGTTATCTTGTATGCATGTTTCGGAGACATAACACACATCAGTACCAAGAGAGTGAAGATTAAGAGTCAGTGCTGCCTGTTGAGCGATCTAACTCAGAGTGCAAACGTTAAAAGAACCAGTGTGGAATGAGTCTCTTGGTTTAATGGACGAGTTACATTTATCGATGACTAGCTACGCGGTCCGCAGCAGTCTTGCTCAAGAAGAAGAGTTGAGAGGGGAGGAGAAACATGAAAAAGGAGAGGGGGTATTGCCGACGGGGTTGGGAGGGCAGATGTTACTCTCCGGCTGCACATTCCGAGAGGAGAGTCTTCTCCGAGGTGCCTTTCCTCTAGTCTTTGAATTAGCAGTCTGACTTTCGAAACAGTGGGGGATTGGGAGGTGGACTTGAGCGACTCCACTCTTAGCCTTTGGTTTAACAGCTTGACTCACAAGGCAATGGGGAGCAAATGCAGCTCAGGACCCATTGGGATCTGCTTGAGGTCAATCACACGCAGCATTGGAAGATTTAGAACGGTCCACATGTGTTTTACGACTGTACGCACTTGCGACCACGGCCAGCCGCAGATGGGAGTTTGCGGCTTTGCACCAATTTGACTAGGGGCTTCTTGCTTGGGGGCGGGCGTCGCACTCCCACCGTCAGAGACAGTGCGTGTCACTCGCCCTCTGCGCCGATCGAGCTGTGAGCTTATAACCCTTAAGCCTGTTGCCTCCCATGGCTTTGTTTTAAATGAAGTGGGCCATCTACCTTTCCCTTACTTCCGAAGTGGATTGGATTTTGACTGAGTTAGTCTGACCCCTAACCATTGACCACTCTGGTATGAGTGGCTTTAAAGGCTCTTGGAAATTGCCACCTAGCGTAACTCAGTGGGTCACGGAGATACGAAAACCACTGCACGACGTTAAGGTCCAGTCTCGTCGGTGATGCGGTGTGTTATGTCTTTACACAAGTTGCCGATACCTCATCCGAAAGAAGCTCTGCCAATCTGCACCAGCTCTCACTATGCATACCAATTCACACGTAACTGAGGAGCCAGATGCGTTGGCAGAACCGATAGGGCACTGTCTTCTCGGATGAAGGAATATCTACTGAGGTGGATCCTGCGATTCCTTCGGTTCGCTGGGGCTATCGAGATTAGTCGAATCCAGCCAATGCTGTGTGTTCACAGTCAGTTATTCGTCGGCCTCAGGCTTCCGAGAACATAAAGACCGAATCGTTTTCATCCATTTTCGATCCCCAAGTTTTCTTCTGTTTGGTCGCATCTATTGTCCGTTATTGTTTCTCATCGGTTATTGTTATTGGCACTGAAGAGACAATACGAAATGCTTGCAACTACCAGCTGTGGTTTTTTGCTGAACAGAATTACTTGTTTTGATTCTATTCAGTTGGTTTTACTTCGTTTATTGTTTCATCTTATTAAAAGAGGTAGGATATGCATCATTCTCATCATTATGCACGTTAGCTTGAGGTGGGAAACACCTCAGCTACTGTGCCGCAATACAAAAAAGAAAAGAAGGAGGAAATGCAACAGGTGCAAGCGAGCTGAGCTACCGGTAACGGATGGGCACCGTTCCGGAAAGATACCAACCGGCTACTAGGCAACAAAAAATTACTATGTAAAACTATATTATGCTACGAAATGAGATCGTGATTGGAGGGGGAGACTAAGAGGGATAGAGTGGGACAAAGAAACTCACAGCACGAACGCCATTGAGTTCAGCTCCCAGCCATCTCAGCAAGTGTATCCA